GTCGATTTGCGTTCCTTCAAATACCAACATCTGTTCATACAAAGTGACGCTCCTCGAATGGCTTTCTTTCGCTTGCTTCTCTACCCTACTTGCTTGAAAATAAGACAGGACAGAGCGTGAGAGAGAGAGCAATGATCCAAGAAAACTTGAATCAGCTTCAAAACGTTCGAGATCGAATTAACAACAAAATGTTTCCTCGAGGAGAGGTTTATTGCATAATGTTGACCAACCGCAGCTTCTGATGGCCGCCTTTTTCTGTGTCAAAAAAGTATGGCAGCGGTAACACGTCTGCATCGGCTAAACAGGGTTGGGGCATATCATAAAGCGGTTTCAGATCATCCATTTGTCTTTTAAACTTTTTTTATCTTATCATATAATCCTTTCTTCTCACCACGAACAAGTATCTCACCAGAGTATGCTGTTGGTCGCTGAGCTTCTCATTTCTGAGCTTCAATCGTACGAGGTAGGTCTCTTTCTCCAATGTGTTCAATCAAATATTTTGATGCAGCGCGCTACACCTTCCGATTTGCACGGTTATGGCTCCACTGGAATCAAGAGCCAAGCAATTTTTTACTGTTTCCGGACAAATTCGTTCAGAAATATGAGCGCAGTTGTTTGAATAAGCACAGCTCAGCTCTCACTTGTGATTGTACAAAAGATGAATTTCAGCCGCAGGATCTTCAAATTTCCCTTGTTATAGGCATTCCATTACAGATTAACCTTTCTCTTCATTAAAACGGTACCTGGAATCACCAATCACAAACTGTGGTTTCAAAAGACTGGACCCAAACGTTATGTCTCAAAAAGGCCACGATTTCGATCCTTGGCGAGATGTCCTGCAAGAACTGTAGAAAAGTTAACTAGTGGAGAGCTGCGTCACATATGTTCCCGAAAGCATTCGATTATTTTAATGTTACGAGATCGCCCAGAAGTGACCGGTAGACCCTGGCTAACATGGGCCTTCGAGCGATGAAATAAGCAGTCAGTTCGACATGGGACTTTGAGCGTTGGATCGCTTTCGGAGAAGTTGAGGTTGCTGATCTGATGAAGCGCAGAAAGATCCAAGTTCTAGGGCTTCCAGAAACGCGATGTATAGGACTGCGACTGAGGAAATCGGAGAATGTATTGACCTATACGGCAGAAAATCTTCAAGGAAGGAGTATGCCCATGGCAGAGGCAGAATCCATATAGTACTCTATGTCATCAGCAAACAGGTTGATTTTGTGGATAGGCAAAATTAAAGGTTGTGGCGTGTACGCCGCATCAATATTTATATCCGTGTATGCACAGTACGGTTCCCCACATTCTGTTTGAGGATGCAAGTCAGGCTAACTTCAGTAGAGGATAGTCTCACTGTGATGGACGATTTGAACCGTAGTCAAAAAAGAACAGAGAAATTCTGCAAGGCTCATCGATGCAAAGGGATAGGGGTCAAATACGAAGAGGAGAGAGGGTTCTTGGACCGGCAACACTCATGGAGCTAGTAGTCTGCTTCACCTTTTTCTTGAATAGACTAACGGTGAGAAGGAAACNAGAGAAAGGGTCCAGCTAAAAGCTATTTAGTCAATCGAGAGGCGAAGCAGTTTTCTCTTAGCAGATCTAGATTCAAAGATATTTCGAAAAAAGTTAAGAACAGAGCTTAGAGTTGGTGGTTTTCATAGCTATATCAAGGTAGGAGAAGTTGCGCCACGCACCAAGAACACCAACAGAACTGGCCGAGATGAACGCTACAGTGGGAAAACGGCGAAAACCTATGAGGGTACCCTTCTTCTCTCCGAGCGGAACGCTTCAACTGTGCAAAAACATCACCCTTTGCTGAGAACCGTAAAATTTAAAACTACTTCAAGTTTCATTTGAAATTGTGAAAATGCTCAGCTTCATTTCTCAGCACTATGCACTTACCATTAGTCCTGATTTGTAGCGCATATGCCACTTGATGCGGTTCTTCTGTCGT